TTGCAAAACTGGTCTATGAGGACGTCACTATTAATTCATAGATTATATATAGCTGTATCTCATACAAATTGATTAATGAGGGCTAATTTTCAGCTTAACTCTTCATCGATTTGGGAATATTATTGTATCGTAAATCCTACATCGTGAAACTGGTATATGAGGACGTCTCTGTCTACGTGTCATCGTATAAGGACGATAGCTCTTTTTATTTGATACGAGACTCTTGTCAAGGAAAGGGGTGGCCTCTGTTTAATGCAATCATTCGTTTTGCCAGAATGTAATGACAGAAATGAAGTTAATGTGATGGGTAGGCCTACATGGACTAGAATATGGCTTGATTAATACAGCCTCTGAAAACAAAACGCACATTGTGACGAGTGTGATGGGTAGGTATGGTGGATAGAGAGAGAGATGGAGATGGGGCGGGGGCTTTTCTGTTTCTTGCCGAGCCAATGTCCTCAGCGCCGAAAATACATTTGATATGAATTATGAATGAAATAAATCATTGTTTAACTTTGATTTCATACATTCTACACAAGTCATAATCAATGCCACATGCACTTTTAGATAAACATATAATGAAAATAGCTCAAAACGTTTCTTTTCTAACCAAAGTCCCGAGAGAATCGACACTTGGCACTCCAAACTGGTGAACTTTAAACAACCTATTTTGTCCTCCACCATCATCTCTCACATCCTAGGTCAATAACGACTATTAAAGGTCGAGGAAGGCTTAAAGAGCAGATGTGATTTCGTCAAAGTTCAAGATCGTGATTTCAAAGCATTCAGGGCGCATTCGCATTGGACAATGTTTAAGTATTGATGACGGACACTTTGTACAACGATGCTCAAACTTATTTGGGGACAGGACTTGGAAACTGTAATCGAAAGCAGTGTGAACTTGGTGAAGCCAGGTCGGGATTATACTCCCATTCGCCAATATACCAAATGCCCTTTGGGATCCACAGGGGACTAAAACGTGTCAAAATGAAGTTGTCAAATATCATATCGCAATATTTGAAGGCATGGTAGTCACTTTAGTTGGAGCAGATGAAAGGTATTGTTTGGAGCAGTTATTTCACTGGTCCAACCAAGACCTTTTTTGGTGTTATTTGGACACAGAAATCCACCCTGGGGAACTCTTGACCTAACCCTATCCATCCACACGAATACTCTAGTACAATATTTAGAAAATATCAACAACAACAACGAAAGAATATTTTTTTTTTTATAAATTCATTCGAAAACCTTAGAGCATCATTAATTTTCCGAGGTGAATAAATTTCAAATTAGAAAATTTGTCCTAATTAACTTTACCTTTCTGGAAAGCTTCCCGAAGCATCATGTGAAATGATCTGCTCCTTTATTTCGCGTTTTGTCTGTGAGCAGTGCATGTTCTAAGGGGCATGGTTCGCAAACAATCTTCAACAATAAAGGACAACAAAAAATCATATATTTGACAAGCAAAAATGTTCAGTTTTGTTTGATATGACTGTGTTTCGAAAAATCATAGGGGCAATCGTCGCCCCGCCCCTTTCCCTTGAAGCCGCCGCTGGTTTCATCGTTCACTTTGACTGAGCAAATCAAATCAGGAACATGATTGCAGTGTGAAATAGTTTGTATGATTGTATCTTTATCTATTTATGCCATTACATTGCAAAGAGCAATCCATGCCGCAATATAGCAAAGATGACCGAGTAGGGTTATAAAACAGCAAACGTTTATTTGAAATTGGCATAAATTGAACGTTATTGCGTTCCTTGATGAAACCCCGTTACAGCTGACACCAATATAATGGACGCCAGTACCGTATCCACTGTACTCGCAATATTGACGTCTATTTCGTTTAAAGTGAAGCACTGATTTGAAGAAAAAATAAATACCAACAAAAGAATTGAACCATAAGTGATTACATACATCTACATGTATATGAACTAAACATCGAATTGTATAATGTTCTATATCCGATCGGATATCTAACGCGACTATACTGGATTCAGATAGAGATAACGATGTTTTTGTTGTTGTTTTTGCTGATGGCGCTATGTGTGGTTACTATAAACTAAGTTGTATCAGACATTATTTTCCCCATAACACTCACATAATTATATTTAAATAATAAGATGGAAACTGCAACGATATTTTTTTAAGAAGAAGTCGTAATTCAAAATCCTCACTATATAGTTGGTGGTGGTAATACAACGCAAACAATGTAGACCTAATATAAAACAAATTATGATGACTGTAGACAGTGGTAATTGAGGTCATGATGTTATTTGGCAACGTTTCTGACAGGAATAATAATAATAATGACATTAATAATACTTATGACATTGAACAAAATCAAAATTCTGTTATTGTGTTTGCGGTAATGCGTTTACTATTGTGTGTTGGGCGTGGTGATCGAGGTAAAGAGAGTACTCATATTATTGTCATTGTAATGCCAATGCTGTTAGCCACCAAAACAATATCAGCGGTTGTGGAGAGGCTGTTGGTGCTGGTAAATAACGATAAATATTTGGTTTAGAATCAAGGTTAGACGTTTGCTGAATGCTAATATTATCTTTTGAGCCATTATCAGAAGCAATCAGTAACACAAACACAGTCTAATAAACAGAAATCAACCACGAATGCTAAACAACAAAGTACGCCTTTTGATATTTGTTATTAACTTTTGGTCATCATAACCATAACCATAACCCAATATATTAATGCATTTATGAAATGCACCCCCAAGAGAGACACTGCCCTTCGTTTCAAGACGATGTTTGTCCACCAATCCCACGGTCTGGTTCATAAAATAAATCACACACAAACAAGAGAAAAATAACAATTCCTATTCCTTCATGGGCCACTTATTCCAGTTTTAGGTGTTTTCATTCCCTTTGTTATCTGTATTATTTCATTTTTAGCAAGTTTATTACCTTGGACTAGCTAGGAAACTGGGCCATTTTCGCTATTAAAAAGCGTCATAATGAGCCATAGACGTGACAAGTGGTTCTTAATGTCTTCTGGAGCGGAAATATGATTCCAGCCATCTTTGACTAAAGGACGTCGTTAAGTCACGATATTACAGATCAATTGTAAGTACTGTCTCGAAAGCATGAAATCAATAACAACAGCATCGATCAATGTTATGATGCTTTCGTATTCATTCATTCGGATCTTGTTGGCCGAATAACAAAACATTTGATAATATCATAATATGATACGATATTGGTGACGCATAACGAAAATTAATGACCCTTTATAAAATTATGATTGCTCCTATATGCTTCCCAAAGCTACCAAACAAAATCGAGTGGAGTATCCAGCATAGGGTGTATCTTGCCCCCTACCCCCCCCCCCCCCGTTTGAAGGAAAGTTGTTCGACATATATGAATTGATATGGTTATATTCATGCCACTCCCCCGTCTATAGAATTCCGCTCCCTATTTTCTGATCTTCGGATACACCCCTGCTAAAAAAATAAGAATACAAATAATAATTTAAACAAAAACATGTGAATTGTCCACATCCAAACCCAACCAACCAACCATCACCATATATCAAGCTTATGCGACATGTTATCCATGTTCAATTAATTGTGTAACATCCTAAATCACGATGAATTAATAAAGGGCACTCTGACTATTAATTTCAGACGGGGCAATTAATCACCATTTGCCATTATTCGGATTTGTGTTTAACCACAAGCAAATAAAAGGATTGAGCATCCCAGATGCGAATACGTTGGCATAAACGTAAATTCATAAATAACATAGGCACACATTATACATTTTACACGCATTTTACTTAGAGATTCTAAAATCGTTAAGTTGGTGGACAACAAATGGCCATGCAATAATCTCTGTTCAATCTAAAAATGAAACAGATCATGATATGGCATATTTTCTTCACATATATATTTATATATATGTTTATGTTTAAGATATTTGCTAAATGATAGTAATACTATAATATAACAGACTACAATCCATGCCAAATATCATCAAACAATGATTATATTAATGGTCTATTATTTAAACGTTGAAATATAGCAATGATATATAAATGGTCTATCCTTTAAACGTTGATATATAGGTGTTTGATTAAATCTTACATTCAATTCTGCCTAAACATGTCATGACAGAGGTTGCAAGAGGTTAACCGACGTTATAATTGGAAGAACAATAACATGTTTGATGAAAAATTATTTAGGGATGTGATGACCTTTTTAATTTGGATAGGAATAAGGAAAGTCATCCTCTCGCTCTTATGACTTATATTGCCAATTATACTCAATCCTCAATATTCATTTCCCCCAATTTGTTTTTGCAAATGTCCAGTTAAATGCACACAACAGGTAATATTGATTATGTACGAAGGAGTGACCTTCGTGATATGTAACTATGTTAATGGGTATTTAACGAAGATGGTATATTATAGGGATCACTAAGCTTATGGGAGTGAAAAGTATTTCCAAAAGGTGGTATCACTCTTATTCCATTATAATGTAGAGTGAATTCAACTCCAAACAAAGCGATCCATTTTCACACCTATAAGAGTGGATTTCACTAAAATAGTGTATACACATTTGAATTTGGAATGCATTCTGGCACAGAATATGTCTTTTGCTGATTAGTGAGCAACGAATTTCATTTTTGACATGAATAATTTCATTAATCGGGTTAATGAAAGGGACTTCCTGATGACGGTAACTGAGTTTGGAAAACATGTCACTGCAAACTTAATGATAAAAATGACTGATGGGGATGACTTGAATAGAATGACAGCGGTACTCGTACATCAATTGTGTTCTTAATCTTCATAATCAGACATGATAAATCATCTTTTAGGGCCTAAAGTTTAAATGAGCGCTGGAATTGAATCATATTCCTCATCTTATCAAGTACAATGCTATACATAAAGTTACAACTTTCGCATATTACCTGTAAAAGTAGAACTTCAATTGTTAACATAAAACAATAATAAAATATACTTGTTACAGCTAAACGTACCTTAATTTGGATTAGTTATCCACTGAGCACAGTGAGCAGTCAGCATTTGTATAGTTCGCCTTGTTGCTCTATGATGATGATGGAAACTTCTTAGCCAACTTAATTAGACATGTCAAATGCTACATTGTAGTCGAATATCTTCCTTTTTCTCTCCCAAGATCATTGGGCATTGATGAATTAAACAAGGTAATGTTTTGTTTGTTGTCAGAAGAAAAGATAATTTGTGTGCATACAACCAGTCCTAACGAGAAAATAAAACCTCCCTTCTCAAGAGATGTCTTTGGAACTAAAAGGTTTCACTCTTTCTTTGAATGTTCTTTATATCTCGACGATACACTTCTGAATCTATAGTAGTCCTCTTTACACGAATCACTGAACTGACCTTTTCTGTGTACACCATGTATCAAAACCCACTCGAAGTGTTCTTGAGCAACACCTAACAAAAGAGTCGAGTTTTCTGTTTTCCCTCAAACTCCTGAGCTCGCACGATTTTTCAAGTATTCGCATCTTTTGTTGGCTGGAAACTCGAGAGTAATTCACCTGCAGAAAGAATCTCCCTTTTTATTTTCGGGGCCACCAACTTTCACAAGTTTTACCAATAATCTCTCCTTTTATACAATATAGTATTATATCTTTTTGATATGGTGCTCAAACCACATATCACGTTTCGCGGTCAACGCCATGTCATTTACATTTCCTCCTTTGTGCATAAAATTGCCAAACTTTGCCAAAGATTCCGTTTCGTATCAGAAATAAATGTAACAGTTTATTTATTCAGGGGGTCTGCTCAGTACTTAAAAGTTGTCCAACCAAAGAGCTCTGAAAACATGTTAAACTGTATAGAAAAATGAACAAATTCAATTCAATTAAAAACTAATACAAAATATCACATTATATAAGACGGACTAGCTCAAGGGACATGAAGATCTTTTACATCAGAAAAACTGTTATTAAAGGCCCACTGCACTACTTGTAGCTACTTGCGCCCTCTTACAACAAACAATGCCTAATCGGTAACCATTGGTCCCCCATGATCCTCTTTTTCTTATGTTAACTGAGAGCTGAGTTGATGAGATAACCACCTGTCCAGTGACCTTGCAGGGCGCTCTAATCCCTCCTGTAAACTATGGCAGATAAGCTTTAAAAGAGGAAAAAATCGGGCGCAAATTGGAGACTGGTGGTGCTCCACTTTTGAAAGCCTCATGAGAATGGATATCATCGAGAATGATAGAGTAAAGTAGGTCAGCCGTTACAACAAAGGATAGTAGCTCATTGTGAATGCTTTAATTGCAACCTTTGGGATCCCAAAACTGTTGTGTAGATTCCTTTCAACATGATGCATTTGGTAAATCACCTGATAAATTTGACATAAACACAAGGATGTCGGTAAAATTTCGTAAATATGGTAAACTTTTATCAGAAATTAATGGATTACACTATTTATGTGCACTGTAAATGGGAACATACAACCTGACTGTATCCAGATGTTTTAACTGTAAATGATCTCGTAGTCCAAGGGTAGGTGAGGTTGTGGGGAGTAAATGGTTGGGGGGCTGCAGGACCCCTTACATTTTGAAACTGTCACTATCAGGGTTTCCCTCACTTTATATTTGAGCAGCGGGATGGTCTCTTTGCAAGTTTTTATTATCTTATCTGAAATACTTTCAACGATGAAATATAACTCTATAAATGTATACATATAGATAGCTATCACCGCGAACAGGTGTCAAATAATTATGTGGCCGCTCACTTTGTTTTCTCGAAAAACTATAGAAACTAAAGGGTTTATTTTCAACTAAAGATATAGACTACTGCCCTCCTATTAAATACGTGCCTTAATATTCCTAATTTTATCCAAGCTTCCGTTTGAACAGTGAAGAGTGACAATAATATTAATCAACTTTTTCGGATTCCTAAGCCCTGCTACGAAGCATTGGAACTTTTGACTAAACCAACAAAAATGTTGCTGAGAAGGATGTGGAGGGGTAATTGTCTCTTGTCACCTCAGCTGGCTACGCCAATATCAAATATTTTGTAATGATAACGATTTCCACGGATAGATTTCAAAATGACATCTACAAGAAAATTGATCAATTTCACGATACTTTACAACATCTTGGATGACGTAAATGATTTGCTTACTACTCATGTGACGTACTCAGCGTCTATTACCATCGCAAGGTTAACGGAGGTCATAAGTTTAAACGGAGGTTCAAAGTTCTCGGTCAAAGTTCAGTCCAGGTTAATGACACGTCGCGTCAGCTTTCTCTCTTTAATCAAGGACAGCCCGCATTAATTTCGTCACTGGATAGCCACGTTTCACTGAAGTTCAGGAAACCAGAACTTTGTTGATTTTCTTACAATCTTGAGGTGTGTGTAGTGTAAGATCGAATTACAAAACAATGATGCCACGATTGTCCCACCTCCAATAAAAAATAGAACTTTGAGTCCGACTTCTTCTTTAGGTCATTTATTAAACGAAAGATTGAGCTACAATTTTAATTCCTTGATTAACATTTATCTCTAGGATCTTGGGACAAACAAAATTAATTTCAATGATTGGACAGTAGATTCTCATCATTGATATTAGAAACAGATGCATTTTCCGAAATCCGTCTTATTTGACCTCGATGCCACGCTTTCCTTGATCAATGTTTCGCTTTGCTGAACTAATCATCTTCTGTAACCTGAATAAAGGAGTCAATAGCCCCTTTGTATCTCTTAAACCAATAATCCTCTTTACTCGTCTCTAACTGTTCAGCGTCAGCCTAGTCATGCAATTCATTTTAACCATGCCCGCAGTATGCGCACCATCTCTACTCCCAGCAGACGACTCCCTGTACCCTATATTACATCCATACGGGACACCTGCAAAGTTATTCACGAGAGTTTTCCTATCTTGGGGCGTATCTAGCATATGGTGGGGTGGTGTACGCCCCCACCCCTGTTTGAAGTCTAAGAAGAAAAAATACACTGGATCTACGGAAAGCGAGGTTTCCCCGTACTTACACCGTCCTATACCCTGTTGACCTTGTGATGGTTCCGCTAGTAACCTGCTACCCCCACCCTTAATCTGTGAAGGATTCCGCCCATTTCCTCATCACTTTCTGGATACGCCACTGGAATTTCCTGCAAGGTTTCCTTATCTCTCTTGCATACGAGTGGCAAGGTACAAGGTAGATAATCGTCTTATGTACCAAAGGATGACATGTTAAGGTTTTAATCAGGTGACATAATCCACTAGATCACAATACCTCGATCTGATCGAGGAGTCTAAGCTCATTGATATGATACAAGCCAGTCTATTGACATGCAAGATGCATCCTAACATTATATATTGCTTCGTTTCGACAGTAATTAATTTTCCAGTGATCTCGCGTGTGTTTAAAATAAACGGGAAAAAAGAAAGAAACAATAAAAACCTGTCAGCACAAAAATATCATGAAGCGTGAACAAACCGTCGCTGTTTTCACGAAGTGACGGTAGTGAAAAAAAATAACTAGCTATTAAATGAAGGTTCGAATAAATGATTCTAATTAAAAGCAAACAACACCATCCGGACACAGAATAGTAATAAAATCGACCGAACATGAAGCATCAAAGAGATCGGAAGCATCAACTATCACTTTTAAAACACCACAAATAAGAATGAAAATCATTTCATTGTCATAATAACCATACCACCATGTCGAATGCTTTGTTTTCACCTCAAACGAATCGTTTGTTTGGTTTATTGGCATGCATGAGTAACAGAAAAACATATTTCTACAAATATTGGTATACCAGTGAATAAAATTATAGGAACTGCCCTTGGAAATATATTTTATAATAATTTATTATAGTCAACGAAAATACACAAGGAAACGTTTTGGGTCGGTGGGTGCAGCGTAAACCTTGGAAAGGGGGAAATACCGTATATAAGAATGCAATAACAGTTATTAAAAGGACTGGTTTCCTTTTAGCCAGGCGCTGCCTCTAGCAGACAGAAATGTTTTGAAACACTATTTAAAAAACGGACTTCGCCATGTATAGGCAACCACAAAAAGTTCCAATCGTATCTGAAATGCCGTTTCTTGTCCAAAGTGGGCTCATAAACATACTTTGAAGTGTTTATCTAGGCCTTCTTATTTTCAATGATCTAAAAAAACTTTCATCCTCCACAATTCTGATTTCAGCATCGTCATCCAACTATGCTCAAAACAAAATAAAGACGAATAAAGTATTAGCCATAAAAATATAGGCGTGCATGTATATACAAAATAGACAATAAATACCTACGTCAGATATTCCTTTTCATGGGTGTTCAATTCTCACGATGTGCGACCACTACTTCACACATTTGTCAAAATTGGGAAAGGTTTTCATGGTCAATAATAACAAAATGACAATGGCCTTTTCTTATTCATTTCAGTTATATTTTGTTTCCCGAATCGTTTGACGTAAAACCATTATTTCCCTGAGCGGCTGTTGCTATAAATGATAGTCAAGTCACAATTGGACAATTTATCTTCTGAATTCGATTTAGTTTTCAATATTGGCATAATATAATTGTGTTTACAATGACGAATCGAAAGTTTAATACAAGCCATAACTCATGCATTTGTGTATGGTATGAGACAGATAAATCACTCTAAATGAACGCACATGTTGTGTGTTGTTCTTCTTACACCTGGGAAACAAGTATATAAGCTCGGCATGCTTGACATATTATTTCTAACATATTTAACTTTTTTGTAAAGCTCTCACTTTGATAGTCTTATTTTTAACACCTCGCTTCATAATATCTCCCTATTACCCCTGCCTCTCTCCCTCCCTTTTCTTCCACTGTCTCGTCTTGCCCGAGAAAGTTTTTCCTTTCGTTTTCAGATTAATGATACTACCTGTATTCAAGGATATGGGTCATGTATTGTACATCTTTTCCCCCTTTTGTGAAGGACTTACTCGGGTGTTAATATCAGTCGAACGTTTTTCGCCTGATGTAAGCGAACAATTTATCTGCACTGTGAAGACATGCAAAAGAGGGTATAAAATGAATCCATACAAGTCACAACACCATTGGGGTTGTCATTAATTTGAGCCATATCAACATTCCGTTGCTCAATATAAAACCCCTAGTTACGTTCTTATTAGCATTAAAGATGAAATGCTCTCGTTTGTGTCGATGTGCATTCCGTCACATTTCGCTTACACCGGACTTGGCTGCATTACCGTTACCAAATCTCGCAAGCAGCGAAACTGGATGGCCCACTTGTAAATTATGCGAGCTTGCCTACAATTATACCGGTTTATTAACTATTCAAATATATGGACGTTTCTTTCCTGGGGACCTAGTGAAGAGGTTTTTTTTTCCATTAGCCTGGGTTTTGTTTAATAATGTTTTTATTGTTATTAATGAATAATCTACAATACTTGGAATCCATTCTTCATATGTTATGTGTTGCTATGTCGGGCAAGCCTCGGGCAAGCTTTCGAGTTGTCATGAACAA